GAAGGGAGTGATATAACATATTCAAAGAGCTGAAAAAAAACAAAACAAAACACTTTCAGAACAAGAATACTCAGCCCAGCAAAGATATCATTCAGAATTGGAGAAATAAGAGTTTTCCAGACAAGTTAATGGAGTTCAACACCACAAAACCAACCTTACAAGGATAAGTTAGACGTTAAGCTGAAAAGAAATAATAAGAAAACATCTGAAAGTATGAATTTTACTGGGAAAGGTAAACATATAGTAAAGGAAGTTGATTATTTATAATGCTGATAAAAAGATTTCAAGACAAAGGTAGTAAGAACAACTAAAATAGCTACTTTAGGGTACACAAGATAAAACGATGTGAAATAAGACAGCCATACAAATTGGAAGGGAAGTATTAAAACTGCTATTTGCAGATAGATGGCATAAATATATATATTAAAAACAAAGATTCCACAAATTAATTTGTTACAGTCACAGAAAACAAAATTAAAAATACAATTGATTTCTTTAACTATCAGAAAGAGAAATTAACATTTATAATTGCATTAAGAAATTAAAATACCTAAGAATAAATTTATCCAAGGCGGTGAAAAACCTATTACTCAAAAAATAAGACACAAGAAATTGAAGGTACAAATAAATCAAACCATATACCACGCTCATGGATAGGAACAATTATCATTAAAATGCCCATGCTACCCAAAGCAATCTATAAATTTAACTCAAAGTCTATCAAAATACCAATGACGTTTTTCACAAACCTATAACAATCTTAAAAAGCCACGAACAATAAAAGCTATCTTGAGAAAAAAGAACCAGTTGGAAGTTCACACTATTTGATATCTAACTACACTACAAGGCTATATTAATCAAAACAACATGGCATTGGTTTAAAAACAGATACAAGGATCAATGGAACAAAACAGAAAGCCCAGAAATAAACCCTTACCAAAGATCAATCTATGACAAAGGAAGCAAGAGTATGCATTGGGATAAAGCCAGTCTCTTCAATAAAGGATGCTAGAAAAACTGAACAGAAACATATTTAAAAAAAAAAAATAGAAAAGACCACATTTGGACTCCACACACTACCCTGTTTCTCCGAAAATAAGACAGTATAATATATTAATTTTTGCTCCCAAAGATGTGCTAGGTCTTATTTTCAGGGGATGTCTTATTTTTCCATGAAGAAGAATACGGTACACATTTATTGTTAAATGAAAATAAAGGAAATTTATTACCTGTATACGGTATTGTAGTACGGTAGTTGTCAACACAAACCAGACAAACTACGAATCCTACAGTATCAAGAATTGGGCTCATTTATTCAATGACAATCATGTCATCTTCTGGAACATCATCATACCAATCCAATTCCTGAATTTCCTGGTGAATTTCTTGTGACTCCATTTCTTTCAGAATCAGTGGACCAAATCTCTCATGTTTAGCCTAGGGGGGGTCTTATTTTCGGGGAAACACGCTAGAAATAAACTATAATCTATTTTTAGTTTAAATTTTAAATCTAAGATCTTAAACCATTAAACAAACAAAGGCAATAAACGCTGACATTGCTTTTAGTAATACTTTTTTGTATATGTCTCCTTGGGCAAGGCAAAGGAAAAAACATTAAACTAAAAGGTTTTGCATAACAAAAGAAACTATCAATAAAACAAGACAATCTACTCAATGGAGTAAGCTATTCACCAATAATATCCAGATAAGGGTTTAACATCCAAAATATATAAGGAATTCATAAACTTAATACTAAAAAAATAAAAAATGCAATTAAAAATGGGCATAGGACCTGAATAGACATTTTTCTAAGGAGGACATACACATGGCCAATTGACATATGAAAAGATGTTCAATATCACCAATCAGGGAAATGCAAATTAAAGCCACAATGAGATATTACCTCATACCTGTCAGAATGACTGTCATCAATAAGTCAACATGTAACAAGTAGTGATGACAATGCGGATTAAAGGGAACTCTTTAATTTGTAAGATGTATAAGATGATAAATGTGTTGTTTAAAACTGCAGAGTTTTGGGGTAATTTGTAATGCAGCAATAGGAAACGAAAAACATTTTCCACATGAATAGTTCAGAATAATTGTTTTAAGATGTTCACCTAGGTGAGGAGAATAATTCATGAACACAGAATTTCAATAAACAGAAAATATAATAAAGTGTCAAACACAAATGATGGAGTTAAAGAATAAAATAATTGTGCTGAAATATACAATGGGGGGTGGCTTTCAGTGGCAGACTAGAAAAAGCAGGAGAAAGACTCAATGAACTCAATGACAAGGGAGTGGTACTCATCCACAAGGGAGTGGTACTCATCCAATCAGAACAGCAAAAGAAAAATGAAAATGAGAGAACTTAAGGAACTTGTGGGATAATATCAAAAAAGCCCAATATTTGCATTATAAGGATCCCTAAATAAAAGGGGTAGAAAACTTCCCTAATATGGGGAAGAACAGGCATCTGGTCCAGAAATCTCAGAGAGTTCCAAATAAAATTTACTGAAAGAGACTCCCCTATGATACATTATTAATAGTCAAAAGTTAAAGAATTTTAAATATCAACACAAAGCAGATTATTATAGATCACTCAGGGAGAACAAAGGGTAAAATATTTAACTGCAGCAGTGTTTGACTATGCAGTGAGAAAACGAAGTCATTTTCAAGATCCACCATTTCTTCTTTCAGTCGGGTCAAGTTTCTAAGCTTTCTAAATCTCCGTTTCCCAGCTAATGAAAATAAAATAGGATTCCACACAGTCTCCTATCTGCCTACTCCAGTAGTGCTGTGAGGATCAAATGAGATGAGGCACGGGAAAATGCTTCACAGACATTTGGTTAAAGTGTAAAATGTTTCCATCTGGCTATAAAGCAAGTTATGTTCCTGGGCTGAAGAAAGTGCAAGGAGGTTACTAGTTGTTAGGGAGAGGAAGCTGGGTGTTGCTACCTGACATCATTACCTGGTGCCCACAGCAACCATTTGCAGGCTGGCCTCAGCAGTCAGCTGCAATATGTTAGGCTGTTGCTCCAGGGTGGTGGAAGTGGGGTGGGGTCTGTGTCTGACCAGCGTCATGGCAGTTCCTTGTTGAACGTCTGCCCTCTGGTGGTCAGTGTGCATCATAGCTACACTTAGCAAATTAGCCTTTTATATACTAGTGTATAGACTGATTTCAGAGAGAGGGAGATAGAGATAGCCACATCAGTGATCAGAGAGAATCACTGATCAGCTGCTTTTTGCATGCCCCCCACGGGGAATCAAATTTGAAAACTGGACATGTGCCCTGACCAGGAATCTAACCCTGATCTCTTTGTTTATAGGTTGACCATTAACCAATGACCCATACCAGACAGGTTGTAAACCTACTTTTCCCATACCTTGTACAAATGTGTTAATCCAACAAAAGACTATATATAACATTTCTAAATGTTTACTCAAACAATATAGGGAAACCTAAATATAAAAAGCAATTATTAATAAGCTTAAAAAAACTGAAGTAGGCAAAATTAAAATAATAGTAGGAGGATCAGTGGATAAATCACCCATACAGAAAATTAATAAAGACGTGTTATACCAGATAGAACAGAACTAAAAGAATTCAATCCAAAAAAATAAAAATATTCTCAAGTGCACATGGAACATTATTTTGAATACATCAAATGTAAGGCCACAAAACAAGTCTTAAAATTTTAAGAAGATTAAAATCATATCAAGCATCTTTTGGAATCACAATGATATGAAACTAGAAGTCAATTACAAGAAGAAAACTCACAAGTATAGTTTAAAAATATGCTACTGTGCAATCCATTGGAAAAATAACAAGAAAAATAAAGTATCTTAAGAAAAGCAAAAATGGAACTATATCAACCTAAGAAGCTTCTTTCTGCACAGCAAAGGAACCATCAACAAAATAAAAGGCAACTTACCAAATGGAAGAAAATATTTGCAAAAAATTTATCTATAAGGGGTTAATATTCAAAATATATATAAAGAACTCATATAACACAATAGCAATAAAAAACAAAAACACCAATCTGATTTAAAAATGGGTAGACTCCCTCCACCTCCCAAAGAAAAAAATCCATATCCCAACAAATAAATGAAAAGATACTTTAACATCACTAATCATCAGGGAAATGCAAATCAAAGCCACAGAGATATCTCACATCTGTTAGAATTACTATCAAAAAGGGTGGAAATAAGAGTTTGCAAGGATATGGAAAAAAAGGAATATAAATTGGTGCAACCACTATGGTAAATAGGAGTTTCTTCAGAAAAGTAAAAATAGAACTACTGTATAAAGGAAATAGAAACATTAAGTGGAAAAAACGCTGGAGACTCAATGCATCATTATTTACAACAGCCAAGAAATGGAAACAATGTAATGTCCATTAGCCGATGAATGGATAAAGAAAATGTGATATATGTATTCAGTTATAAAAACAGAAGGAAATCTTGCAATTTGTTACAACATGGAAGGATATTGATGGCATTATATTAAGTAAAATAAGTCTGTCAGAGAAAGACAAATACCACACAATCTCACTTAAATGTGGAATTTTAAATTACACACACACACACACACACACACACACACACACACACGCGCGCGCGCGCGCAACCAACAACTCAGAGCTGCAGAGAACAGATCATAGTTTCCTGAGATGGGGGTGGAACAAAATGTTTGAAGTTGATGAAAGTTACAAACTTCCAGTCATAAAATTATTAAGTTTTGGCATGTAAAGTAAAACATAGTAACTATAGTTTATAACTGCATTGCATATGTGAAAGTTACTAAGAAAATAGATCTTATAACTTCTCATCACAAGACAAGATATTTTACTATATATAATGGATATTAACTAGACTTATTGTGATGATCGTTTCAAATATATAGTATGTTGTATTATAATGAACATCTGAAACAAATATAATGTCATATGTCAATTATATCTCAACAAAAATTTAAAATACATGAAATAAAGTACCTTTAGATTGTATTTGTGTGCTTTATCCAAAATAGTTGGTACCAAGTCATCAGTAGGTACTCCATTCTCATCATGGGAATCAGGTGGGTACCAAGAAAGGGCTAATACACCTAACAGAAAAGACCAAAAAGAAAAAGAAAAAAAAAAATGAACATAGAAACAAGAATGACTGCAGGTATTCTTAAAAAAAAAAAAAAAAAAAAAAAAAAAAAGGTGGGGGAGGGGCACAATAACAATTGAAGTTTTAACAAAAAAGAAATATCTGACCTTAAACATTGTTGTTACATTAGATACTACCTCTGACTATTAGATTACTTTGTATAATAAATTTTATGAACTCTATAAGGCATCAGTAACTTTGAATTAACAGACTTTTATTTTTTAAAACAAATTTCACAGGAAAACTGCACAAAAAGTACAATATTCCATATATGTATTCCCTGTCTACCCAGCCCCTCTCCATCCCATAGTTATTATTATTAGCATCTTTTTTTTAGTGTGGTACAACTGTTAAAACTGGTGAACTAATATTGATACATCATCATCAACTACAGTCCACAGATTACACTAGCGTTCTCTCTTGTGCTGTACAGTTCTACGGCTTTTGATAAATACATGCTGCGTGACCACTATTACAGTATCACCTAGATTAGTTTTACTGCTCTCAAAACTGTGTGCTCCACTTATTTATCCCTCTTGTCTTCCCTCAACTCCCTGACCTGGTTATTGATCTGGTTATTGTTTTTATAGTTTTTCTTTTTCCAGAATGTCATATAGGTGAAATAAAAAAGTAACTTTTGTTCAGACTGGCTTCTCACACTTAGCAATATGCATTTAAGGTTCACTTATGTGTTTTTATGGATTTATTGTTCATTCTTTTTATTGCAAAACTAGAGCCCCGGTGCATGGATTCATGCACCAGTGGGGTCCCTCTGCCTGGCCTGCGGATCAGGCTGAAACAGGCTGACATCCCCTGCGGGGTCCTGGATTGTGAGAGGGCAAGGCCGAAGGACCCCACTGGTGCACGATCAGGGCCAGGGAGGGGCCTCAGGAGGACTCCAGTGCATGTCCTGCCTGTCTTAGTCCCGAATGGCTGGACTCCAGCAGCAAGCTAACCTACCATTCAGAGCATCTGCCCCCTGGTGGTCAGTGCATGTCATAGCCACTGGTCAACTGTCCCCTGGTGGTGAATGCACTTCATAGTAAGTGACTGAGCAGCCTTCGCATATCATTAGCACATTATGCTTTGGTTGAACTGGACAACTGGACCCTTAGTATATTAGGCTTTTATTATATAGGATAGCATCCCATTGTAAAAATGTACCACACTTACTGAACAACATCTTGGTTGCTTCAAGTTTGGCACAATTATGAATAAAGGTGCTAAGACTTGGGGAGTATATTCCTTGTTGTTCCTTATTCTGTTACTGTTCTTCAATTTCTTTATTGTATCCATTATCACCTCATGTGCCTAATGCTAGCCCATACTGTGCTTCATAATCCAATCTTATCTTTGTACAGTAAGTCTTCATTTAACAAAGAGAGCCTGATTTAAGTCTGGAAGGTTCAACTTCCAGACACCCCAGGGGATAGCTGCATTGCCCTGCCAAGGGGATTGATTAACATCCCTCCCTCCACCAGGTAGGAAGGCCCAACTTTTCAGGGAACAACCAGCACCTTCCTATAGAATACGAAGGTGGGGGAGGGGAGAGAGGAGGAGAATTCGTAAGAGATTCTTATACTGAAGCGTGTGCAGTAGAAGTCAGATGAGGAAGCAAAACTATTAGACCACTGCAATATAGGAGCCAAAATGCGACATAACAGCCTGGAAAAATCTGAGGAAAGGACTGGATAGGATAAGGGCACAGAACCCCAAAGACCAAGGAAAAGGATTATATAAGGGCACAGAACCCCAAAGACCAAGGAAAAGGATTATATAAGCAGCACCAGCCCACAAAAAATCAGAAGACTGGTTAGTTTGAAAGAAAGCTTATCCCTTCACAAGCCCCGAGTAATATGATCAAAGCTTACTAACTAATGCCAGGGGCTGGTTCCTTCACACCTTCTCTTCCCATTGCAGCCACACAAGTTAAGCACGGTGGTGATCAGGCCAGAGGGCAGCCAGGAGCAGCGACTATGTTGGACTACTGGAGCCCAAGGTGGTGGCAGTACAGTTCTGGACCCTGGCCCTCTTGGTGGGTTGTGCTCCTGTGCTGACCAGGCCCCAGACTTCCACAGTGAGATGGAGCTCAGCCACCTGGCTTGGATGAGACATTGGGCACTTGGCAGTCCTAGGTTTCCACTCCAAAACTACTGCCACTATTCACATCCTCCTATGCTTGAGTCTCCAAAATGCTTTTTTCCACAACTCTGTGGAAGTATCACATTTCCACTGGCAACACTATGGCATCTCATCAATGTTATAACAAAAGACATAGAACAAACATTTGAGAACCTGCTGAATAGCGCAGACTCACTCGTGAGCTCTACGTAAGTAGTATTCTGGGTACCAAGCAAATGATGATTGTTACCTGGACCATTTACAATGGTAAATGAGTCCTTCATAGTCACCAGATTCCTGTAAAACACCTCAACCAGGTATCATTCGTAAGTAATACTGATTACTATGTATTTCTACCTTTCCAAATGATTAATGAAAAGTAATACTCACTGAAATCCATTCTTAGAATATTAGTATGTTAAATGCAGATCATGCCATATTAATGGTGTCATCCCTCCAAAGAACTTATCAAAGGATGACCTTCAATATAACTGACATCTATTCCCCCCGCCCCCGTTAAATTAAAGAATGCATTGAAACAAGGTAATAGTTAAGAACATCAGATATGATTTTGATAGACTTAGAGAATCAAGTCCCAGTTATGTTGTTTGACAGGTGTTTATTTTTATGTAAGTAATTTTACTTAAGTATGTGTAAAATGGGAATTAATGAATAACCTAAAAATCCGTTTAAAAAATATAAATCAGCCCTGGCTAGTATGGCTCAGCCATCCTATACAGGGAAAGGTTGTGGGTTTGATTCCCATTCAGGGCATCCAGGCTGCAGGTTCGATCCCTGGCCAAGGTGCGTTTGAGAGGCAGCCAATCGAGATCTCCCCCACATCAGAGTCAGTCTCAGTCTCTCTCTCTCTCTCTCTCTCTCTCTCTCTCTCTCTCTCTCTCTCTCTCTCTCTCTCTCTCTCCCTCCCTCCCTCCCTCCCTCCCTCCCTCCCTCCCTCCCTCCCTCCCTCCCTCTCTCCTTCCCTCTAAAATCAATTTTTAAAAAAGCACATATCCTGGGGTGAGGATTAAGGAAAAAAGATATATATGAAAACATGCATCACACAGAGTAAGCTCCCCCCAAAATTAATTACAAAAAACAATAACAAGAAAATAGTACAAATTTGGATTCCACAGAACTTATGAAAGCTTCTCCTACATTATTGGAAACTTACATATAGTGCCCCTTTAAAATATCTCAAACATTTTTTCAAACTAAAGATTTATCCAAAAGAAAGGCATTTCCATTTCCAGACATAAACACTATTATCACTATACAGAATGACATGGAACATTAAAAAGCACATAAAAATTAAAAGGCACATAAATAAGCCAGGAAAACAACTCATTGACAAGAGAAAGCAATCAATGAAACCAAATTCAGACAAGAAACAAATGCTGAAGTCATTAAACAGGAAGCATAAAATCACTATGATTACATGATAAAACAGTGGTTGGCAAACTGCAGCTTGCGAGCCACATGGGGCTCTTTGGCCCCTTGAGTGTGGCTCTTCCACAAAATACCACCTATCCTAATTAAATTAATAAAATGTAGCTACCTATATAGTTTAAGTTTTAAAAATTTGGCTCTCAAAAGAAGTTTCAATCGTTGTACTGTTGATATTTGGCTCTGCTGACTAATGAGTTTGCCAACCACTATGATCAAGAATCTAAAGGAAAAGATAGCCAAGAGGTAAATTCAGGTGGAAAATAGTAGAGATAAAAATTTTAAAAATCAAACAAATGCTGCAAATGAAGATCATATTAAGAGATGAAGAATATCTTCAACAGACTCATAAATAGACTCAAGAGAAGTGAGGAAAGAGATAATTCTGGCAAGTCACAAAAAATTACCAAAATGAAATATAATGAGGAAAAATAATAGATAAAAGTACACAAAACGACATATCCAATTGCTCTGGATTAGTCAGACATAGAAGAACAAATAAAGATATCTCTTATATGTGGAAAGCTCAAAGAAAAACAGTGGAATGGTGGTTACTAGCAGATGGAGAGTGGGGAATGGGGTATATGTTGCTAAAGGCACATACCTGCAACTACTATAAAAATAAGACAACCCAGAGATCTAATATACAGTGAGTATAAACAAAACTATTATAACCATTAAACTTGCTAGGAGACTAGATCTTAATTGTTCCTATCACTACAATAAATAATAATTATGTGATAGGTTAACTAATACGACAATGGCAAGCATATTGCAATGTAAATGTATCAAATCAATATGCTATAAACCTTAAGTTTACCAAATGTTAAATGCAATTACATCTCAATTAAAAAGGATTACTATAATTCAATATGTAACTAATAAGGAAATAAATTCTTTATTTACTAATGGGTTATAATGTCCTTTTTTTTTTTTTTAACTATCAAGTTGTTTTTTAATTTTCTCCTACAGAAAATCTACCAAAGATATATTTGCATCAATACTGAAATTGTCAACATTTAAGATAAATTGGAAAGAGATTAACCAATGAATTTATATGCACATAAGCATAGCCCAGGGATAGACCTGGGGAGGGGTGGGAGCAAGATGAAAGGGGCTTATGGGGGAGGAAGGTGAACATCTGACAAAAATAATTATTGCCAACAACTGGGAAGATTTTAAAAATTTATTTGAAAGGACTCATGTTCATACATATTATGTAGTATATAATTAATAGGGGGCATGGTCTTCATAAACATTGGATAGGCTTAGAACTAAATATGAATTGAAGCTTTTTCTTAATCATAATATAGTAATATGCCATTTACATATTGCTCACATATAAGCAGTCATGCATCGGATCAAAGAGAAAAAGAGCCTTATTGTATACAGTTCGGTTTGCATTAAGAAAACTAAAGCTACCATGAATATCCTGCTCCCTTTTTCTGTCAATCAAGCATGGCTTTTATAGCCACAAACACATCAACCTTGAAATAAAAAAGAATTGACTGTAATACAAATTCTTTATAGAAAATAGGAAAAAGTAATTTGAAAGTTCTTCCCCCAAAAAGTAAATTGTAAATAGATAGGAACACATACACAAGCACTAGTTAATGCTATCTGAATTTACCAATCCTATTTTGTCATAATTTATGTCATGGAATATAGAAATTAGAGCTATTAAGTATATACTATAAACTTAGATTTGTTTTAAATGGTTAAAAAAAATACAGAAGAAAAACAAGCCATCTTACACATAGTTGATGTAGATTCACAAAATTCTGTATTGTTTTGTCCTTGCATGTCTCTGCATACATAGATGATTGATAGTGAGTTTGTAGCTTTTGTACAATTACAAAAATGTGAGAATACCTAATTTCTTCTTATGGCATTAGTGTTAGGGATGCTAACAAGCAAAAGAAAACAAAACAGGGAGGTTTTTATAAAACATATATTAATGGCCTGAAGAATTTTTAGGCACCCAATATTTTTCTCATATTATTTACTAGTTGGATAATATGTCTCTATCAAATATGTATAGCTGGAGTGCCAGAAATTAGTGAGAAAAGAAAGCTGAAGAAAAGGGGGAACAAGAATAAAAATTACCAATGATTTCTCACCCACTTAAAGATGCATATGGTAAATGTTGCAACAATCGTAAAATAAATAAAATGGATTGTATGTAATAAGCCAAAGGAGAATATCAAACAGCAAAAACATATTTAATATAAGAGAAGGAAGAGAGGGGGGAAAGGAGCAGAACAGATGGGATAAAGAAATAGTAAAATGAAACTTTTAAAACCGTACCTAAATGTAAATGAAATAAACACAGAAATTAAAAAAGAAGAAATTACCAAGCCGGTGTGGCTCAATGGCTGAGACTAGACCTATGAACCAGGAGGTCACAGTTCGATTCCTGGCCAGGTCACATGCCTGGGTTCTAGGCCCGATCTCCAGTTGTGGGCATGAAGGAGGCAGCCAATCAATGTTTCTCTCTCATCATTGATGGTTCTCTCTCTCCCTCTCCGTTCTTCTTTGAAATCAATAAAATATATTTTTTTTAAGAGAAGAGATTGTCAGACTGGTTTTAAAAAACAGAGAAAAAAGACCAAATCATATGCTATCTGCCTACACCTAGAAATAGCCTAAATGTCCATCAAGATGAAGGTAGAAACAAATCACTAAATTGCTATAATTATTACAATGGAATACTATTCAACAATTATAAAGTACTGATATCTTTAACATAGGTAAATTTCAAAATAGCAGTCTGAGTAAAAAACCACACACACAAATGCTGAATAATTCTATTTTATGTAGTAAGAGAACACTCACAACTTCTCTACAGTTATAGAAATCACATTCATAGATTTCTGGGGTGGAATGGTGAGGCTGAATAAGGGAATCACGACAAGACTTTCTGGGCTATCCAGTATTTTATTACATGATGGGTGGTATTTAAACAAGTACACATCTCTGAAAAACACTGAACTGTATACTTAAAGGGGAAAATTCATGGTCTCTCACAAAAATAAAAATTTAGTAATTTGAAAACAGTACATTATAAATTAAAAATATACCCAGAAATCCTACAAAATTTTAAAATTAAACCAGTTAGTGTTAAAAGTCAGTTCCTGCCCTTGTTAGTGTTGTCCAGTGGTTAGCGTGAGCCAACCACTGCACAGGATTGTAGGTTCAATTCCTGGTCAAGGACATGTACCTGGGGTTGCAGGCTCTATCCCTGGCCCTGGCCAACCAATCGATATCTGTCTCACACTGATGTTTCTCTCTCTCCCCCCCCACTTCTACTCTCTCTAAAAATCAATTTAAAAAATATATCCTTGGGTGAGGATTAAAAAAAAAAAAAGTGGTTTTCTGTATGTTTAAGAACATATGTAGTTTAATTGAAGTTTATAACTCTACACTTATAATAATGTGAAGGTTAGTAACTTAATTTTCTACAAAAATTATGTATTTTACACTCATACACACACAATAAAATAAAATTACCAATTGAAGCTGAGTATATCTGTTTCATGTGAGTTTCGATGATAGAAGGATCCCGAGAGCTGTAAGTTCCCAATTCAGGGTAAAAGCTGGAGCCAATATCATCTGGAGGTTTGTGTGTCCCTTGTGGATAATTATTGTTTATTCTAGGATCCCAGTGCTTCAGCGTTGAATGGTTCCAATGTATGTATTTACCATCAAATTGTGGATTTCCATACCAAGTGTAATAAAATACATGTAAATAATAATTCAGAGGCTGCAGTTCTTCCAGGAAAGGTTCAGAGGCTTTGGGAGGTTTCACAGTAAATTCAACATTTTTTAAATGCTTGATATTTGTTTCACTGTTGATTGTGTCACTCATTTCAGAATCAAAAATTTTCCCCAAGCGAGGAATTTGTCGACGAACTTCTGGAAGAAGATCAAGTCCAAAAGGAGCTCCAAAAGTGCCTTTATTTGGTCTCAGCATTTTTAAACCCAGCATCACAGAAAAAATAAATAGAATAAAAAGTGACAAAATGATGCAAGTCCTTCTTCGAAACTTTGCCATGATGACATACTTTAAACTCCAAAATAACAAATGTTTAGCTGTAATTTATTGAAAAACAGTAATTAGTAAATGATATTATTAATATTTTCCAATGTATTAAAAAATGAAAACTCAAATGCACTAAGTTCATTACACTGAAAAAATTTAACAGTACATTAGGGTTTTAATTATATCAAATACTTATGTCTGCAACAGAATCTATATATGGCTCAACTAAATGCAGTATTTGGAAATACCATAATTATATTTTGTCAGATAAACATTTTGAAAATATTATTTAACAAAACAAATATATTTTTCATCATTTGGGAGGAGTTTACAAATACTGAATATAATTAAAACATTCTATGTTTAGGGACTAAAATTTTCTAAATATAAAGTTAAGGTTCATTGTTTTAAAAAGGAAATACTGTGAGATTTTCAAGAAACTAATTTTTTCAACAAAAAATAATTATTAAACAAGAAGGGAGTAATGACCTATTTTAAATGACATTTGTTATATGGAATAGAATGAGATAAAAAAATTAAATGATCACAACTTAGCTTCCTGATTTTTAAAAATATTACTTTATCACTTTGAAAATCACATTGAACAGAGGTTGTAGTGTTAACTTACAACTTCTAAAGTGATTTCACGTATATTCTTCATGTTTTATTAATTGTGTATATATACACATGCATAGGGTGTGTTTATGTACATAGGTATATATTATATATGTATACATGGATAAAATAAGTCTTTTTATGCATAAATATTTATTAGTTATTTGATGGAAAGTTTACATTGATTATATTTATAAAATATGATTTTCTATTATTTATTCACATTTTTGTTATTCTAAAGCATTAAGTTAAAATAAATTAACTATGATGGAAAAGACACACAAGTAAAATTTAAACTAAAACCCAAGTATTTGTCACACACAAAAACTGTCTATAAACTGATGCTTCTACTATGCATATGTGCAAGAAATACTAAGATGAGCATTACTTTTTTTTTTAAATATATATATTTTATTGATTTTTTACAGAGAGGAAAAAAGAGAGACAGAGAGCTAGAAACATCTATGAGTGGATGAGTGAGAAACATAGATCAGCTTCTTACACACCCCCTACTGGGGATGTGCCTTGACCTGAATAGAACCTGGGACCCTCAGTCAGCAGCAATTAACACATCTGAAGCCAATTTTGGTTTTAAGTACCCTTCTCTACTTAAAAGAACCAGGTTCTTTGGAGAAATGTTGATTTTAAAGCTGTGGGTGGAAATTTATAAGGTAAACCTAGAAAGTAGGGAAGTACACACACACACACAAAAAAAAATGTACTTTTGCAGAGCAACCAATGGCTAAATCTGGGACAATTTCAGCATCAAAATAAGGAATAAGAATAAACTAAGGCATTAAAATAAAGTAAGGACTTCTGAATCTATATTTTTTAAAATGCAAAAGTAAGTGGAATAAAGTAGACTCATCTTAGAAAGTCAACTAACAAATTTAGATGGAGTAATAGAATTAGAATATCACCATTTGGCAACTATCATAACAATAATTATGAGACAGGAGTTATCAATGGATATTAAATGAGGGAGAAAAAGTTTGATGGGAAACAGTATATCTCCCCAAAAGATATCTAATTAACTACAAAGGGAAAATAGTAACTTAACAGTACAGAACCTAGCAGATACCATGTTTAATAGACAAGTGATAAAAATTAAGTTCTTCAGTTAATTTTGGAAGGAGATATCATAAATCTCCTGAGAATGTCTTAAGGACACATAATCTCTGCTGTGGTATTTCTCAAAATTTAATCTGGATCTAAGCATGAGGAAACATCAAAATGTTAGACATACACAAAGGTCTATGTTTATATGTGCACATATGTGTGCACACTTGCATACAATTACATATAAGTAATTGTTCACAATGTACTATGTAAGTGTGTATGTGTACAATGATAAAGCAAATGTAAAATAGTACCATTTGATTAATCTTCATAAAAAAGCAAAGAAGAACTGTTTAATTCTTTGTATTATTTTTGAAACTTTTAAGTATAAACATGTTTGAAAATTAAAAAGGAAAAATAAAGAAAGCAAACTGGAGGATGTACACTGTTAACCTAATACCTGCTTATTTCTGGGAAGGGCCAACTCATGTACTTTTCCAAGCTCTGTACTGAGAGAGGGACTCCAGGGAGTGAAATTCCTACCTATGGAATGTGGCAGCCCTGTAGATAAGAATAAAGGAATGATATAACTGTAGATAAGAATAAAGGAATGATAGTTTTGGATACCTGTGATTTGTTTCCTTAAATTTCCATGAAGTAGAAAAAATATATAAATATAACATTATCTCAATTATATTAAAGATACAGACTGAGGGAGAAAATAAGATAAATAGGTATAATGATTACCACCTTTGGGTGAGAAACTACAGTTATGTTTTCTTACTCTGTCTTCTAAAATGAAAGCAATTGTTTTAAGAAAAGTTTGGGGTAGATATTTTATAAGAAAATAATCAATGGTAATGAATATTGATGAGTCACAGAGGATGGAGAAATAACTACTGAATTTAGAAATCAGCAAGACATTGATTTTTGAGACGTTGACTAGCTCAGTGGTGAAATGCATGAGGCAGGATATATAATGGAAAGAATATTGATTTTGGAATGGAAGAATCAGTCATGTTGATTTAGTTGCGTGACCCTAAGTAACTAATCTCTTCTTGCAAAGAAGTACATGGCCTGTTTTGCTTTCCAAAAAAGCTGTTCTGTGAATCATGCAAGATAATGTATGTGAAAGAAAGTATAAAAGGGTAATGTTTTAATCAATTGGTAAATACCGATTGTATTTAAAAATAAATAAAAAGCAGAGAAATATAGGCAACATAGTTTTTTTTATAAATACTATATTTTATTGATTTTTTACAGAGGAAGGGAGAGGGAGAGTTAGAAACATTGATGAGAGAGAAACATCCATCAGCTGCCTCCTGTACCATTCCCCCACTAGGGATGTGCCTGCAACCAAGGTACATGCCCTTGACCGGAATGGAACCTGGGACCCTTCAGTCCACAGGCTGATGTTCTATCCACTGGGCCAAACCAGTTAGGGCTACTTGATTTTTTAAAATATTTGTAATATATAAACTTCTCAGATCTACATAAAACACCAAAAAAAAATCAATTTATGAAAGTCAATGATTTTTCCCCTCTTGCCTGTCAATGTAATTTCTTAAACTTGGACCCTCTTTGTCTGTCTCTGTCTCTCTGTCTCTCTGTCTCTCTGTCTCTCTGTCTCTCTCTCTCTCTCCATTCACTTAAAAAAAATTATCAATCATTATAGATGATCCACTGCTTCTATCCCAACCTTCATATCTCAGATATCAGTAAGTCATCTCAACCATAAGCAAGGCAGCAGGTCATTGTGATTAAAGTATGGGCTCTACAGTTCAGATGCCCAGGTTCACATTCCAGTTGTAACCTTTTCAGCCATTTCACCTATACAAGGGAAGTGACCTTTCCCAGTCCACCCCCCCCCCCTTTTTTTTTCATCTATTATCACATCACTCAGGATTTTTGTGAGGATAAAATAAGTTAACATTATAAAATTCTTAGAATCTTTCTGGCTTACATTACACTGAATAAATATACAAGCATTTGACAATGCCTGCTATCAAAGCTGGGTGTCAGGCAAAAAACTGAAAACTAAAACATGATTTATTCTCTTTAAATGCCTATTGTCTATACGGCTAACTTTTAAAATACTACTTATCCTTCAAGACAAAGCTGAAATGTTGCCTCTTTTTCTTGATACCTCTAATGGTTCCAGAGAGAAAAGCACATATTCTATTATTACAGCGTTACCTGCTTTTTAAATTGGCATTTTAAAAAATGTATTGCGTCATGTTATTTATTTACTACATACGGAATATAATAGAACCCTTACCTCTACAGTCTAGTAGAGCCCAATATATCTTATAGTCAGCGACTGTTTTAAGTGTCCAGCTTAAACAATTTAATTTCTGGCCCGTTTGTTCTGATACTGGTATATTTTTGGGCAATATGTGTATAAACAGATTCTACTGACTATACATATACATATACCTAACATGTTTATAGTCAATAGTGAGCTGATTATACAGGAAGATTATACAGACAGACCCAAAAATTTAAAAAATCAATTTTAATGAAAATTATGTCCAACAGAGCAAAACCACAATGATCCTTGGAATGCCTAACGGGCAATAATCTCACAGGAAAGGTATAGAGCATTGGTCGGCAAACTGCGGCTCGAGAGCCACATACGGCTCTCTGGCCCCTTGAGTTCTTAGCAAAGTCCACCTTAGGAGTACCTTAATTAAGTTAAAACCCATGTACCTACCTATATAGTTTAAAAAATTTGGCTCTCAAAAGAAATTGCAATCGTTGTACTGTTGATATTTGGCTCTGCTGACTAATGAGTTTGCCGACCACTGGTAAAGAGGAACTACTTATTTGGGTTCCACAAAAGAAGTTTCAGAAATCACTTGAGAGAAAAAACAAAAACAAAAACAAAAGCCTGCAAGTTAATTATAGATGTATAGGTTCTCAAAGCAGGAACTGATTCCAGGTACTGGCTACTGAAAATCTGTTATCTGCAAGGGTCAGTTTTCATTACATCACAGGTTCTTTCTAAAATTTTATGGTTTCTGTATTGGTGTGTTGTGCTTTTAATCTTTGAAGTGCTGGTTTTTGACTTGGAGGTTTAGTGAGGCCCAAGGGATCCAGAAGCCGTATAATTTAACTATTATTTCAAAAAGTATTTACTGTTGTCTTGTTACTCAGAAAAGCCAAAAAACTTCACGTTCTAATTATCTATTATACAGACTTCTGGTGCTTTTCTCCTTTTAGTATTGTTTTCTTCTAATTTTATTTTCTAGGAAGCCACGAGAGATACACTAGTACTGTAAGACATATCTGGAACTTTCAGAGTCAGTTTCAGAGCCAAGGCTTCCTGCCCAGGTCTG